TCCTCTTGGAGATCACCTAGATGGCTTGGTGGCAATCAGTAACTTGGTGATCTCCAAAAGGAGATTTGTGGGAGGCTCGAGTTGGTGTAAATGGACGTGGGTGATTCAACATGCTGGAGTGGCCTCACAAAGTTCAACGTATTTGAGTTTGGTTTTGATTCCATTGATCATTGGGCCTCATATGAACTACCTATTGCTAGTTTCACAAAGTGTGCATCACATCCACTCACTAGACTCATCTAGGTCAAGCTACCCATTCATACCCCCCTTGTAGTATGGCTAAAGGAGAAAACAAAGATCATGTTACTACTCTAAGTGTATGTCAACTCCATTGACACTTCGAACTAGTGGATCCTTAATCTTCGCGTTCATCCTTTGAAAACTAAAATAATACAATCAAATAGGGGCATGAAAACCATCATTGTGACCTAACTTATAATGTCTCTGTAAATTATGCATTAGTCACAATGATTGTGTCTCATTAGTCACAAAAACCAAATTAGAGGCCTAGATGCTTTCAAATACCCATGAAACTCTTTATAAAACCCTCACTAAAATTGGCCTTATATAACCCAAAGGTAGGGTTTACAATGGAATCCCTGATCAGCTGAGATTGGTTTCCTAGTTTGTTACAAGGAGATATAGATGGATCTTTACAATTAGGAAACTCAAATACATCAGCATCCCATAAGTCAGTCTAGGACTTCTCCGCCAAGTAGATGACATCCAGGCCTAGTTGGGCCTCTCGAGTAGTCACGCTTGACTGATGGGTCAATTTTCTTCTCAGTGAGGATATCATAGGACCATATTGTCGACAATAATATTTAACAATTAATCAATTACTTTTCTCCAAAATTTGAGGTTGGTCTCCATTTAATAGGCCTTAAACCCTACATGATCACCATTACTTGTGAGTATTTATCATAACATTGTAAAATGCAGATGCCATGATTATAAAAGAGGTATATGCATCGTAGGCCCTTGAACTTGTCTCAGAGTGCCACTTAGGTCCACAAACTCTCAAATCGTACTTCTAGCACCCTAATGTTGTTTAAGTATGCCACTTAGGTCAATAACTCATCGGATCAAGGTTTTGGCTGACGTGGCCTGGACAGAACACACATGAGCCGTGCGTGAGCCTGGTCTGGAGCATGCAAATAAGCAGAGAGGCCCCCACGACCACTACCTCCGTCGTCTCCTCGCAGCCGACGAATCGCGTGCCAACTCATTCTAGCTCCGCGACGACAACGACAGCACAGTGGCAGCGGTAGTGGCCACGCGGTCTGGCTCGGTAGAGGTCCCGCTGACCTTCGGTATCCGGTTCCAGATGCTCAACTACGTCACCACCATCGCGCTCGGCAGCGGCAGCTCCGGCTTTGGCTCCCCCGCCGCGAACCTCACCGTCATCGTGGACACGGGAAGCAACCTCACCTAGGTGCAGTGCAAGCCCTGCTCCACATGCTACGCGCAGCGCGACCCGCCCTTCGACCCCACGGGCTCCGCCAACTACGCCGTGGTCCGGTGCAACGCCTCCGCGTGCGCGGCCTCCCTCAAGGCGGCCACCGACACGCCGGGATCCTGCGGTACCACCAAGAGGTGCTACTACGCACTGGCATACGGCGACGGGTCCTTTAGCCACGGCGTGCTCGCCACGGACATGGTCGCGCTCGGTGGCGCCATCCTGGACGGGTTCATGTTCGGGTGCGGTTTCAGCAACCGCGGCCTGTTCGGCGGCATGGCGGGGCTCATGGGCTTCGGCTGCACCGAGCTGTCCCTGGTCTCCAAGACCATGTCTCGGTACGACGCGTCCTAGTACGATGGCTCAAGGGCAGTGGTGGGGCGAGCCCGTGCGCCGCGAGGGTGGTGCCGCCGACGGCCCCGCCGGTGATGTTGAGGAAGTAGAAGGGCGGCTACGCCGGGTCGGCGATCATGCGGGTGTAGGCCACGGGCGTCATGACTGTGGGAGCCGGTGGAGCTGCTGCTACTAATGCGACGCAGCAGCTTTCGGCATGCCACGACGGCTATGAATAGGGAGAGCTCCCTGACGGGGAGGATGCGCGGCGCGAGGCGCGTCATGTTGGCGGCGAAGGCTCGGATGGCGACCTTGGGGAGCGACTTGCTGAGGCATGATGGTTGAGTGCTCATCGTCGGCGGCGGCGACGGTGGTGCGCTCCATGACGCGGAGCTCCATTATGGCGCGCCTGCGGAGCGCCGGGTCGGTAGTGAGCAGCACGACCGAGCCGCCGTAGCGGAAGAGGCAGTGGCCTAGCATCATGGACCTGTCGACGCCCGCGTAGCAGTTGGGCGTGATGCACTCCGCGGAAACGACGAGCGCTAGCGTCGGGCGCCGCGGGGATTGGGACCGGGACCGTGCGTGCATGGTGCTCCAGGTGAGGTCCACGACAATGAGCACGGCGGCGCATCCCATCCTGGAGAGGCTGTAGGCCGCGACGTCGTCGTGCATGCCATGCGCACGCACAATCCGGGATGCGGGCGACGGCGCCGGGTGGAACTTGCTGACGTCGTGGCATGCCAAAAGCTGTTGCGCTGTATCAGTAGCAATAGCTCCGCCGGCTTTGTTAGCACGCTAGCCCACGCGGCCACCGGAGCTCGCCTGCGCCGCCACGCTCGCAATGCTACGTGAGCTTGCCTACGCTGGAGGTCTCCTCGCGCGCCTCCGCTGGTTCACGCCGCCATAGGAGCTCGGCCGTGTCGCTGCCCTCGAGCCATCGTACCGGGACGCCGCCATACCGGGACACGGTCTGGGAGACCAGGGACAGCTCGGCGCCACCAACGTGCTCATCGACTCCAGCACGGTGATCACACGCCTGGCGCCGTCCGTGTACCACGCCGCGTCGTGTTTAAGTATGCTGACAGCTCTAGTAAGAGGATAGGAAATGGAGGATATGAAAAGAACTAGGGGGCCTCTCTGCTTATTTACACGCCCCAAACCAGGATCACGCACGGCTCACGTGCGCTCTGTTCACGCTATGTCAGCCAAAACCTTGATCCGATGAGTTATGGATCTAAGTGACATACTTAAACAATATTAGGGTGCCAAAAGTATGATTTGAGAGTTTGTGGACCTAAGTGGCACACCGAGACAAGTTCAAGGGCCTACGAGATGCATATACCTCATTATAAAATGCAAATGATATGTTTGAATGATTCTTAGGTCCTGTTTGGCAGGGCTCGGGCTCCTCCAAAAACAGCTCTCGGCTCTGGCTCCTCTGAAGGAGCTAAAGCCGTTCTGAAAAACGTTTGGCAAAACGGCTCCTCCTGTTTTTCTGGAATGGATGAAAGATGGTAAATGTCTATAATGCCCCCACTTATTATTTTACTACGATGTACATCTAGTTGAACCCAACCTAGAAAAATTGGTTTTACAATTTTTTGATACTTCTATAATTTATTACGTATTTACGAGTACCCGGTGATTTGGCCCATTTCAGGAGAAAGCTAACCGTTGCTTTTGCACTAGGAACCTTGGTCTATTTCTAAATTATTGGAGCCATCAATTGTTTTCCTTTTCTCTTGTATTTTTACATTGAGAACCCTATCTTTTCTATTTCTTGAAATCCTCCCTTTGGAGCCATCAATTGTTTTCCTTTTCTCTTGTATTTTTTTTCGCATGTGGATGGACAAGGAGCCAGGAGAAGCACGTCTTTTTGGGCTCTGTCCGTACAGCACAAAAAGTGCTCCGACTCTCTTGCGGCTTCGGGAGCGGAGCAGGTTTACTCGTCAGCGTTTGGCAGGGCTTTAGCAGGAGCTGGAGCCGCTCGCGAAGCCCTGCCAAACAGCCCCTTAATTGCAAATGCTTAACCCTAGGATGTTATAACTCCACCCACTTAAAGAAATCTCGTGGAGACATTTGCAGAGACTACTAAGGGCTAGATTGGCAGGGCTCCAACTCCTCCTAAAAGGGATCCGGCTATCTGGCTCCTCTTATGGAGCCACTTCTCTAGTGGAGCTAAAATTGTTTTAAAAACGGTTGGCAAAAATAACCCCAATGGCAGTTTTGTCATAATTTGTGCCTAAGTCTTTGAGGTGGAGCCAGGATAAACCACATTTTCATGGCTCCAGCTTGGTAGAAAAACAGCTCCGGCTCCTACTAGTTTCTTTATTATAGTAGTTAATTCCTTGGATGGCCATTTGGCAGGGCTTCGGCTAGAGAGTCAGAGGCGGTGCCTCTCTCGAAGGCTACCAAATTTGCCCCAAGTCTGTGCGTTTACAAAAAGGATAGGAAATGTTGTCTTATCCTTGTGCCCTCATAAAATCTAGGTAGGTTGTCTTTGGTTAGGGGATATTTGGATCCCAACTGGATTATAGTAATAAGATAAAATAATGTGAAGGCAATCCAAAACACCTTAAATTATATGTTGATTTTAATAATTAAAATTCTGTGATTATTATCATCCTACAATCTATCTCAATTCTCAAACCTTCTTTTCCGAGAGTATAGGTCATTTGTACTCCAACTAACAATATTTCACATCTATCATTTAGGAACGCAAAATGTCTAGATTATCATAATCCATAATTCAAAGTATTATAATCTCATCCACAGTCTATATAACTATAATCTAATCTAAACTGGCCCTCGATCTTTTCTCTCCTCCATCCTCAGACTCAACCTTAAGGCCCCGAGATTTCTGGTCCAGTTGAGATGACAATGATTTTGGCTATAATGATTTTTGCATTAGCACGAGTATATGTTACAATGGTCACGACCTACACCAAATCTAGGAAAGGTTCACTCTCACACACGCATTGAGAAAATGTGTCATTATTATTGTTTTTCTTTTAGATGGAAAACTAGAAGCCGGCAAGGAGGACACAACACAACAACAGCCGGTCTTAACTCTTAGACCTCGATCAGCTTTCTACTCTTTCTTCCTACAACGACCTCAGCTACTCACGATGCTCACGGGCACGCGCGCACGGGCAGCGCAAGCCCCGGAACACGACGCCATCGCGTGCGGACGCGCCGCGCGCTGTGTCTATCTACCCGCACCCGCCTGCTCGTCGGCGTTGCGCTTCTCCCCGCCATCGACGACGGCAGCGGTTGTGACATCGAGGAGGCACATGAGGTCCGCGAACGCGCCGAGGATGTCCCTGAGTGCGTCGCGCTCGTTGAGCGCGATGTAGCAGAGCAGCAGATCGTGCAGGCGGGCCAGGTCGGCGTCGCGGCGTCGCGGGTCCAGCTCCAGCGCCTCCACCATCTCCACCATGGACTTGAGGAAGTCGGCGCGCGGCGCGTCCGTGGACAACGAGACCTTCCGCACCGGCTGCGTGCCGTCGTCATGCAAGTGTGCTTTGGTGGCGGACGCCGAGGAGGAAGAGGAGGAGGAGGACGAGGCAGCGGCGGCAGACGCGGGGAACGCGGAGGTGGCCGCGCGCCGCAGCGCGTGGACGTTGGAGGCGGTATGACGGTCCCGGGCGTGGGAAGCTGCCGCCGGGTGCTCGACGGAGTCGACGATGGAGTTGGAGAGGCCGGGCGTCGCGAGGAAGAAGCGGCGGGCAGCGATGGCGGTGGACAGCCCACCCGCGTCCGGCTCGGGCGCCTCGGCGTCGTCCGGGTAGAGCGCGTCGTCGTCGTCGAGGAAGGCCGGGGACGACGTGGACGCCGTGGACGTCGGCGGCGAGGCCGTGCTCACCGACATCGACGCCGCCGACGTGGAGCCCTCCTCGTACGACAGGGACGGCCGCCGGGCGACCGGGAAGCAACCCAGCATTGCGTGCTCCGTGGCCCTCGGCATCGGTCCTTCTAGCTGGAGAGAGAGGAGACCGACGAGGTGGGGATGGAAATAGACGGAGACTGGTGACCACGCGTGTATATAGCAAGCGGCCGGGGAGGCAAAGGCCAAGGCCAAGGCCCAAGGGAGGGCGGGGTGATTAGGGAGGGAGGGTGCTTAGCAGGAGACGACGGCGACCTATAATTGATGAGATTAGCCTAGCTAATCCCTCCTGCTAAGACGATGCGCCCTAATTAAGCAACAGCGACAAACGCGTGCCACTAAGCCAAGTCAGGCTCTTGCTAATTCCTCTCGCAGAGGTGGACGGGACCGGGATGGTCCGTTCGTTTCTTTTATAATCGGTATTTTTTAGCTTGTTTTTTTTAAGTTAGAATAATGTTTTTTTTTACAACAAATCAATCAGAATAGTGTTTTGATTTGTTTTTTTAGCGAAGCGAACTAGGCATACGAAGCTCAGCACGGATGGAATTTGAATTCGATTTCTATCCCGTTGGACCGTCCACGGCTATGCCCGCTCCCAGAATCAACGGTTACGGATATGGCCATGATTCATGAATTGTGGCTGCGCCGTCCCACGCTTTTGGAGGGCTGGGATCGTCCTGGACATTCGTTGGCACAATCAGAGCCGCCGAATTCTAAAACGGTCCAGGATTTTTTAGTTGAAAACCTGTGAGAATGTTGAGATATGATGGTGTCATGCATGTGACGACTGATTGAGGAGATATTTGCAAAGATATCCTAGCTAGGAAAGATGTTTACGAAGATTTCATTGCAGTGGGTTTTCAAATTTTCCATTTATTATTCTATCTTTATTAGCTATTGGGCATTGCCAAGTTCCTACGTATTTTCAAATCTTCTTACAGACGAAATCAATGCCATGCACCCAGCAGATTAAATTAATCGATATCGATAGTAGTCAAATATTATGAGATATTTCATTTTATTAAAATATTCTCTGGTTTGGAAGATTCATTTATTACTAGACTGTTTGTTTTCCTAACGGGCATTCTTTTTCAAATTTTCATGCAAAACAAATTAATGCTATAGATTTTGGGGTTCTAGAGAAAATCTCTTACAATATCTCCAAGATTTATTCCTTATTTTTTTACTTAAAAATACATGGTTTCAACAATACCAGATCCGGATCATGAACAAGCCGCCGCCCATGGTTTTAATCGATCCCTTTGCACTAAAGCAAAAAAGGAAGACATGGTTTCAAAACCGAATCCAAGTTATGGCCGGGGAAGATCAACAATAAGGAACAATTTGGATGTAGGTTCTTAGCACCATATATGTTTTCTATCCTTCTAGGTAATAAACCTAAGAAAAAGCAAGAAGTAGATACTTGTACATTTTTTTAACATGGGAATTTGGTTTCAAAGTTAAATCCAGGTCATGAACATGTTGCACATGATTTTCTCTAGAAAAATTGTCAAGGGAGAAATGAGACAGGTCCTTAGCACCATGTTTGTTATCCTTTTAGGTAACATAAACTTAAGAAAAAGCAAGAAGTAGATACTAGCGCACCTGATTTGATCTATCAAGAAAGAGAACATCTTGAGGAACTCAGTCCTTCGGTCAAAAATGAAAGATTGTAGGGCACCATGAACAAGAGGTCTTCGTGCTGCCAGAGGTGGATAAACAAGGCTAAGTGGAGAGCACAGAAAAAAGAGGCAAAACAAGGCTACAAAGGAAGAGAGCGCAAGACACAATGACAGTGAGCGGAGCGGAGATTAAATAGGCAAAATTTTGTAACGGTTATAATGCTAGCAAGCCAAATGTCAAGCGGAAGGGATATGCGGAGCCGTTAAGAAGGCAAATGTCAAGCGACACCATTTACCATAATCCACATATGGAGTCTTTCATAAAAGACACTTGTCAACATCAGCGTGCATATATCCTTCAGAAGGAAACAATTCAACGGCTAGAATGAAAGCACAAATGCAATCACATCGAGAGCAGATATAACTCCTCTTGTACTACAAGCGTCTGAAATCAAGATCGATTTCAAGCGCTACTCTCCTCAGGAAGACGGTAGGTTTGGGTTTGAGGGTGGTTGTGCCCTATGGCCTTAGAAAGGAGCCTGTGGAAGCCAGACAAGCCAGGTGGAGGAGGTAGGGACGGAGCGCTGAGGCCGCCGCCAGCCGCGGATAGAGGAGGATGGCAATTGGGCTAGGGAGGGGAGTGAGAGTTAAGGAGATAGTCCAGCGGCGCCAGGTTAGTGCGTCGGGGGACAACAGACATGCACTAAGCAACAGAGACACCACCGGAGATGTGAGACGGCTTGCAATAAGGATGGCAACGGGCGGGTTCGGATCGGGTGGAGTCTCTGGGCACCCAAAACCGAAACCTGAACTGAAAACCCGAATCCGCCCCGAACACCAATTCGGGCGGAAATCCATCCCCGAAACCGAAACCCACGGATCCCCAAAACCCAACGGATTATCAAAAACCCGAAACATTGAGCCGAGAATCCGTGAGGATGCGTTGGCCACCTGGCCCTATGCGATGAGCCGCATTTGCTGGGAGCGCCAAGCGCCCGCCACCACTGCGTCTGCTCAGCAGCTGGGCTTTGGGCGCCACGCGCCCCGCCGCCACTGTGGGCTGGCTCGGGCTGGGGGCCTGGCTGCGCCGCCGCCGCCGACAGTTCTCTGCGGCTGGGGCCTGGGGAGCGTCGTCTGGCGGCGCCGCCAGCCAGCAGTCTCAAGGGTGGGGCTAGGGGCGCCAGCCCGCCGCCCTTCCCTCCGGCCGGGCGCTGTTGCCCTTGCTCCTCTGCTTGCTGTGATTGGTGGGTGCTGGTGGTGGTGTCGGAAGCTGCTCCTCTGCTTGCTCTGACTGGACACTGGGCGAGGTCGCGAGGGCCTGAGGACCGAGAGAGAGAGAAGCAGAGCGGAGCTGGTTGGGTGCGGCGTGCGGCGCTAGGTGGGTGCGGGAGAGGGATGAGGGATCTTATATACCTAGGGTTGCTAGTTGGGCCACTAGTGGGCTGAATCTTCGGGGCCCAATGGAGCTCTGTGGGTGGAATTAAAGATCCGCACCAAAACCGCAGCATTTCGGGTATCTGAACCCGAAAAACCGTGGGAAAAATCAGGCCCCGAAACCGAAAACTCGCGGACCCCAAACCCGCGGATATCCGCCCTGAACCCGATCCGCTGCCATCCTTAGCTGGCAATAGGTGATTGAGCAGTAGTTGGGAGTTGGTTCGCTGCAAGGAACAAAAAAGAGAGGTTGAAGAAGAACAATTGCACATAAGCTAGGAACCATTAGATTGACATCCAATGGCTCCTATTTATCGTCTAAAACAACAGGCGCTTGCAGTATAGTAATTTCCAATACTTAGTGTTATCTTTATAGTTTGCAAATGTTGTTGGTTAGTCAATTAGACAAAGCTGAGGACATGAGATGCCAGAGGCTAGATGTAGTCCCTTGTTTCACCTAGAAGCGTGGAGGTTAAGGTTCAAACCACGTTGGGCCTACCCAGAATCTAACGAGGGCACACAATTTCATAACTGCACAAGAAATTGAACCCTATTGCAAGCTATTTTATATGTTCAGTAATGGCCTCAACAAGTAACAAAAAAACAGGGATGCTAGCGCCTGGACATCTAGATGGATGCTCGCGCCTACACTCTATGTCGCATGCCTCTTCGCTTCCCGCGCCTCCACCATTTCTCATGCTCGTGTCGCCTAGATGCCTCGCCCTGTCCACGCCACCCGCTCGCACACTAGGGCCGCCCACTTCCGCTTCGCTTCCCGTGCGCAGCCGAGGACCGCCTGCGCCCCACTGCATACCACGCACGCGGGGACCGCCTACGTCTGCTTCCGCTTCTCGCACCTGCTCCGTATTGCGTTCGCACCCCCGCCTGCGGATGTGCGCCGCGTGACTCCGGCCATAACATCCTCAACGCTTGAAACATAAAAACACTTGAACATGAAAACACTTGCTGCAACATACGTCTGAAACAGATGAAACATTTGGAACATACGCTTGCAACGTATGCGTAAAACATATGCAACATCCAGATAAAACACTTGCAACATATGTTTTGAAACAGATGAAACATTTCGAACAAACGCTTGCAACATACGTGTATAATCATTGCAACATATGCAACATCCCAATCTACTTTTGTAACATCCATATGAAACACTTGCAATATACCTCTGAAACACTTGAAACAGACGCTTGCAACATGCGCTTCTTCCTGTCGTGGTGTCTTCGGCCGATTACGGGAGACGATGTCTCAGCCGGCGACGACCTTCTTCTGGTGGCGCTGGGGTGGTGGTGGCGCGGTGCACGCCCGTGGCCACGATGGCCGAGCGCGGAGTGGGCGCGGCTTGGGATGACAGTAGCGGCGAGCCGGAGTGGGGCGGCGTGACGAGGGATGGCTGCGGCGGCGAGGTGGGGTGGGGCAACGCGGCGTAGGATGGGCGCGCGGGGGGGAGATGGCCGCGGTGGCGATGCAGAGTAGAGCGGGCAGACGGCCACACGGCGCAGTAAAAGCACAGGATGGGCAAGCGAGCTGGGAGATATTTTTAAGAGAGATGGGAGAGATGTATAGAGAAGCAAGCTTGTTTGGCCGGTATAGTAGTGCACAGGCACAGGAAGGTAGCATCTCGTCGGACGGACGTCCGACCCTAAGCATTACTAAACCAAAAAAAAGAGAAAGTAAGGCTCGTTATTTTAAAAAAACTTACAAATGGGCCTCATTTTGTAGAAATTTTCCAGGGGCGGTACCAGAGATCATAGCATCATCTGTAGCTAGGAATGTTCTTTTACAATTGCAAAATTGACAGTTGTTTGGACACATTTGCAGGTATGCTTCCGCTAGTCCCTAGAGTCATGTCGCCCTCCCGGATATGTACTCTTGTTTTTTTACATATGCAATACATTGTTCAAATTGGTCACATTTAGTGCTTTTTATTTGCATATAAGCCTTTTATCCACGAATAAATAAGCCTTTCCTACTTTGTTGCCTTATTAAAAGCTCGTTCTAAGGAAAGCAATTTGAACTCGCTTGGAAAGATAGTAGAAGTTCTACTGATTCCCTATGCGCTCTCCTGTTCACAGTTGGTCCCGCCGTCTCGGTCCCGCACGCACCGCCGCGCGCACGGGGGTACGGATGGGATGGGAGGCAGCGAGGTCTGCCGATCCGCAACCGCCAACCTAACTCAGCTCCTCACCTTCACGCGTCTGGCCGTGTTGCATCCACGTCCCACGAGACGGGCAGGCGTCGGCTCGGTGGCGCCCGTAGGCAAGGCTGTAGGTGCGCGGTCACCACCGCCAGCGGCCGTGGCCGATGGATGCGTCCGCGTGCGGCATGTGACGGCCGCTGCTTCCCTCTACGTGCCTTTCGCTGGCCCGTCTCCATCTGATCTGACCCGACCGCGCCTACACGGTGGTGCGCTCATCAAATGCATAAGCAGGTTCGCTGGAATGGGCTGCAAAACTGATTGTTTCGGTCGCTTCTCCGTCTCTCAATCCATGTTTGTTTTACAACTTGTTATTATTGCGAGGGTGTATGTATATGCATACATGATACATGTTCTAGAGCACATTTGTAAAAATAAAACTTGCACTGCAAACAGCAACAACCGTGCGTTCCATGCTGCCCAGCTACTGCCGGCCGCGGTTCAGCCGCGCGGCAGCGGCGACGGACGCGCCCACCCCGGCCGGCCGCGCCGTCGCGTCGGGGTCGCTGCGCACCTCCGCGCCCACCACCCGCGCCGCGTCTTCCCGCTCCACCTCCTTGTCCGCGCCCAGCCTCACCGTCGCGTCCTGCGTGGACAAAACCGATGGATCCTCAGCTTAATTTGACTATCACAGCACACGTGACCATGGTTTCCATTTTCGTGAGGAAGGATATCTTTTTATCATGCGTGGCGTACCGCGATAAATTTTGTTTAAATTTATTTAAATTTACTGGCGCAAATTAAATTTTATTTAGATTTCGCCCTCCGCCTTGCGCGTTTTATCTGTGACCCCCGATAAATTTTAATTTCAAAACCTTGCACGTGACTACGTGAGGAAGGACGCGTGGCGTACCGCGAGGACTTGGCGCAGCGTGGTCTTGTCCGCCTCGCCCTCCGCCTGCGCGATTGCCGCCGCGTCGCTCGCCTCAACCGGCTGGTCGCCTGCGGAGAACACGGTCGCCTCCAGCGCCTCGCCGATCGTTATCTTGGTCCCGTCCAGCACTCCGTGAACGCCGCCGTCTTGTCTTGCTGCTGTTGCTGTCACGCCGCCCGTGGTGTCCTCCTCCTCCTCCTCCTCCGCTGCAATGTACTGCCCGACAGGCTACATACACACACAGGCATGTACATACATACATAAACAAAACATCTCATTTTGTCAAGAACATATACAGCGGACGCACGGCTTCAACGCGATGGTCACCAGTCACCTGGTCGGCCACGAACTCCGTGATGACGCGGCAGCCCGGCACGCGCGCCTCGGTGACGGCGACCCCGCCCTCGGCGGTCGCGTCGGTGGCCTCGTCGTCGCGGGGCACGACGCCGAGGCGCTCGTTGCGCCTGGCCGCGGACTGCATGACGGCAGCGGCCCCGCCCCTGGGCGCCTCGCCGAGCACGGCGCTCTCCGCGGCCTGCATCATGGCCGCGTCCTGCAGCGCGACGGGCGCCGTGGCCAGGTCTCCCTTGACGGTGAACACGTCGCCGTAGCGGACGGCGCCGGCTCCGTCGCCCGGTCGGTCCTGGCCGTCGTGCTCCGCCGGCTGCCTCCTCTGCTGCTGCTCCTCCTGGCTCGTCATGGTATCTGATGATGCTTCGTTGCTGGCCCAGGCAGGGAGCAAGTCACTGAATCTCAATCCCTGGCCTCGTTCGGCTGGTGCTAAAAAAGCACGATAGCCAGTTGAAATTTACTCTAGCCGGCTGATTCCTCTCATAAATTTCTCCACGTTCTTTCGAGCGAACAGGCCAGGGGGTGGTGCCGGTGGTATGGGGCGACTCGCGAGCGATAGAAGAGCTGGACGTGAGAGGACGGATTGGAAGGAGGCGAGAGACGTGGGTGACCGCGCCTGCAGCCACGTAGCGTCGGCACTGCGAGGTGGCGCATGCGCAGCTGCTCCAGACGGTGACACTACGAGCAAAACGGACACCGAAGTGCCTGCACACACGCGCTCCGCGTCCGTAATAAGCGTCAGGATAATCAGTTCCAGCTAAACAAGCAAACTGCGGGCCACTCAGGATTCGCGAATGCTGCCATAATTAAACACAAATCAAACTTATTATAATTCCCATTTGATCCGATTCGATTAAAGCAAAACAGAATATTCGCAGTAGGCAATGTACAGGGCCCAACTCGGACGCGAAAGAGAAGCAGAGCGCGGACGCTCTGCTCTGGGGAGGCGCGCTTCCGGCGACGACCTCCCAACTCAAAGCCTCTAAGGTTTAGCACAGACGGACGGACGGGGCGACGCTCCCCGCCGCAGGAGAAGGTAGGTGGCAGCAGCCTTGTGCCTCACCGGCGCTTGTGGTCCCTGGACCGTCGCGAGTGCCGCGGCTGCTCTTCCTGGGCCTCCTGCTCGCGCTCGCGCCGGGAGGACGAGGACGAGGACGGCCGGCGCTTGAAGTGCTGCTCCTCTTCCTCGCTCTCCTCCTCTTCGTCCGCGCCGCCGTAGTACTCGGCAGCAGGCCTACGCTTTTCCTCTTCCGCCTCTGCGGCGGCCTCACGGTGGTTCTGGTGGTGGTGGCGGTGGCCGCGGCCGTCGCCGCCCTCTGCCACGGCGCTCTTCTTGGAGGAGGAAGAGGAGTGCGCGGGGGGCTTGTCGGAGGCCCTGCGGCTGCGCTTGGCGTCGGAAGGGTTGGCGCTGTCCCCGGGGAAGCTGATGCGGGAGAAGACGCTGGCCTTGGACTTTGACGACGCCGCAGGTGCCTTGGCGGGCTCGGCCTCGTGCCGCGACGCGGGCGGCGGGGGAGGTGGGAGCTGGGTGTCGTCGTAGGACTCGTAGCGGTCGGAGGACGAGCGCTTCTTGCCGGAGCTGGAGGAGCGACGCGACTGCTGGACGGCGGCAGCGGGACACGCTCCGACCTGTCCGGCTGGGACCTCGACCTCTGAAAAAACAAAACAAAACAAAATAAAATAAAATAAAATAAAATAAAGCACGTGACAACACTACTCAAGAGAGTTCATCCCAGCCAACCAATCCAAATCGTACGGTCAAAAACTCCTCAAGGCTCAAGCTTTGCCACGTCAGCTTGCGGCCCACCACACGCGTCAGCAGCCTACCACGACACATCGTGCAAATTGAGATCGCTCTCTTTATCGTGGCCTAACATCGGTTTTTGGGCTCCACTAGTACTTTTAACCTTAAAAAATTCTAGTCCTATCCACTGCAAGCACTTGTAGAAATGTGAAAGTATATAACAATTAAAAGCTACGAATGAAAGAATAATAAAGCAAAGCGTCATCTTTCAGAAAGCAAAAGACATGAACGATAAAGAAAGAAAAATGACAAACCCAGGCCCAAAGAAAACATAAATATAAATACATAATTAAACTAAAGATCTTTCCGCCATAGCGATGGCATCCTGTAAACCCAGGAAAGCAATCACAGGGGCAATGCTCCCGCTGGTGACTGAGTGCTGCTTGTAACCTAAGCAAACCTCTTACTGGAATCGGATCAAGCAGCCGAGGCGCTGAGAACAAAAGGCATAGGAACTCAACAGAGTGCCTCTCTTGTTCTGTATCACCAGAATCAAGTGTGGCAGAGGTGGCGGCGATGATCCATATGTCTACCATGGAACTGATAACAGTACAAAACTTGGCATGATAACAGGTTGACAGGAAAAGACATACATCCTTCCGCCTCATCGAGGTACTATCATTAATGGCCCCTGGTGATGCTCTGGCCTCTCTGCGGGAGTCCCTGTCCCTGGCTCGCTGCCGCTCACGGTCACCCTCCCGGGAAGGCTCCTGCTCCCACACCCGCTCTCGTTCCCTCTCCAGGGAACGGTCACGCTCCCGCTCTCGAGAACGGTCGCGCTCTCTTTCCCTGCAAGAACACAACTCAACAGATTAGCTTTGAGAGAAGGATGCAGTAAAAGAATGACTAAAGACACTGAACATAGACTTAGTTCATTATTAGATTCGTGACACTATACCACTATAAGGTAATTCATAACTCAAGGGATTATGCATAGAGCATAAAGCACCATCTTTATAGATCATGACACAGGACTAGCAGCATTACAATTTACAACCAACATTTACATTTTATAGAAGTTTGATAAAGAAATGAAAACCAAGCAATGGCATGAAACTTTATCACACATTGAAAATAGCACTTGCAATCCCTAACTTCGTGTGGTTCTGCCATTTTAGATTCTAATGCAACAAAACTAACTATAATAAGACCAAAACTTGTGCCAGTATGTTTCACAATTTCAGTCATTCAGTTGTTCACTGAGGCAAGAGATTTAAGTGTGGATGAGCTTTTAGTGAATCTAAAAAGAGACATTCATGGATAAAGTGTTTGAAAGTTTAGGGGCATAACCTAAACTAGCCATTTTGCCAAGCAGTGACTTGGCATGATAACAGGTTGACAGGAAAAGACATACATCCTTCCGCCTCATCGAGGTACTATCATTAATGGCCCCTGGTGATGCTCTGGCCTCTCTGCGGGGGTCCCTGTCCCTGGCTCGCTGCCGCTCACGGTCACCCTCCCGGGAAGGCTCCTGCTCCCGCACCCGCTCTCGTTCCCTCTCCAGGGAACGGCCTTACGGCCACGCTCCCGCTCCCTCTCCCTCTCCCTCTCCCTCTCCCTCTCCTCTCCCAGGCTCCCTCTCCTCTCGCTCTCTTTCCCCTGAACGAACCACAACTCAACAGATTAGCTTTCGAGAGAAGGATCGCGCTCTCTTTCCCTGCAAGAACACAACTCAACAGATTATACTTTGAGAGAAGGATCTAGTAAATTATTATATTATCTAGACTAATATATGACAAGAATTTTATATAATCTTCTCTTAATATAAATAAAAATATTAAGTTATACTACTAATTTTTTTGTTGTCAACATTGGGGGGGCCATGACCCGTTCCTTTCTTGAGAGAATTTCACAAAAAATGACCCGCTCATTCTTGCTCTCATTTGACATCTATTTGGCATCTTTTCATTTCCTTATATGACACTCCGTTGGATTTTTCGTCCGTGGACCGTTAACTGCCATGTGAAAATACCCTCTGTGGGCCCCACCACCCTTCTCTCTCCTCTTCTCCCCTTCTCCCTCCTCTGCTTGGCCACCGCGCTGCCGCTGGCCTCGCCCATGAGGCCGATGACTAAGGATGGCAATGGGTCGGGTTCGGATCGGGTGGAGTCTCCGTGCACCCAAAACCGAAACCCGAATCTGCTCCGAAAACCGATTCGAGTGGAAATTCATCACCAAAACCAAACCCGCGGATACCCGAAACCCGAACGGATACCCGAAACCCGAATGGATACCCGAAACCCGCGGATATATATACACATATTCACATGTATAAACAAGAGGCAACAAATAATAAATATTTTCATGAGTCAACTTTAAATAAATTTAATAATCTAAGTAAACAAATTATTATTAGTATATTATAAAACATGAGTTTTAATTCCAAATGATTTATTTCGGATATCCATTGGACATCCACGGGTGGAAAACCAAACCCGAAACCGAACCCGATTGGTTTCGGAGCCCCGAACCCGAAAACCGTGGGTGAAAAACCATCCCCGAACCCGAAACCCGCGGATATCCGCCCCAAACCCGATCCGTTGCCATCCTTACCAATGACCATCCCGGCGACGCCGCGGGAGCTGAGGCCCGAGGCCATCACGCACTGGCGCAGCGGCGGGCCGCACAGCCCGAGGCCTCGGAACGCGGTGAGGAACGCAGGGAAGCCGCCGGAGAAGCGGTTGGCGCCGAGGTCAAGGACGCGGAGGCGGTCGCAGGTGGTGTTGGGCCCGGCCGGCGCCGGGACGGCCCCCATGAGGGCGTTGCCGTGGAGGCGGAGCTCGGTGACGCAGTCGCAGAGGTTTCATATGGAGGTGGGCAGGTCCCCGTCGAGGCGGTTCCCAGCGAGGTCGAGCGCGGAGAGCGACGGCACGTTGCCGAGCTCGAGTGGGACGGGGCCCGAGAGGGCGTTGGCGGCGAGGTAGACGGAGTCGAGCGCAGAGAAGGCGCCGAGGTCCGGCGGGAGGCGACAGGCGAGCGTGGCGGCGGGGAGGCGGATGGAGACGAGGAGGAGAGCGGGGTCGGAGGCGAGGGACAGGTTGCGGGAGGAGGAGGCGGCGTCGCAGCGAATGGGCCGGCCGTCGGGGTTGGAGGTGGGCGAGGCCAGCGTGACCAACCGTCGGGGTTGGAGGAGGGCCGGCCTCATGGGCGAGGCCAGCGGCAGCGCGGCGGCCAAGCAGAGGAGGGAGAAGGGGAGGAGAGGAGAGAGAAGGGTGGTGGGGCCCACAGGGGGTAAAATCGTCTTTTCGCATGGCAGTTAACGATCCACGGACGGAAAATCCAACGGAGTGTCATATAATGAATGAAAGTTGAACTCGGTGTCAAATAGGGAACGAAAATGTTTTGAAGGCCAAGAAAGAAACGGGTCATTTCTCTGATATCAAATAAGGAATTCTCTCAATGACTAAAGACACTGAACATAGACTTAGTTCATTATTAGATTCGTGACACTATAACACTATAAGGTAATTCATAACTCAAGGGATTATGCATAGAGCATAAAGCACCATCTTTATAGATCATGACACTGGACTAGCAGCATTACAATTTACAACCAACATTTACATTTTATAGAAGTTTGATAAAGAAATGAAAACCAAGCAATGGCATGAAACTTTATCACACATTGAAAATAGCACTTGCAATCCCTAACTTCGTGTGGTTCTGCCATTTTAGATTCTAATGCAACAAAACTAACTATAATAAGACCAAAACTTGTGCCAGTATGTTTCACAATTTCAGTCATTCAGTAGTTCACTGAGGCAAGAGATTTAAGTGTGGATGAGCTTTTAGTTAATCTAAAAAGAGACATTCATGGATAAAGTGTTTGAAAGTTTAGGGGCATAATCACGTAAATGGCGTGAGTATATCACAGACACCTAAACTAGCCATTTTGTCAAGCAGTGACTTGGGCTTCATAAAGAAGAGTTTACAAAGCACCAACGTATGGCAAATGCAAATAACAATAAAAACTATAGAGCTATATTTTTTGAGACAGAAACCACAAGAATGACTAACGCAAATAACATGGTCAAGCTCAGGACATGCCATACCATCTAAGGGCAACTTGTACAAAGCTCAGGGAGTAGGGACATTGGATGCAGTTTACTCTATACATGGTTCTTATGTATCCTTCAGAATTTATATGATGACACAGTTCAAAACGGCCCATGCCTTTGAGACCGAAAGAAATCAACGCTCAAGGTAAAGGTGAACATTGCCAATTCCAAGCAAGACATTTAGACCAACTTCTCTCTTATCCTCAACTCAAAAAAAAAAAACTACATTTGGATGGTCATTACGGGCCTGTGCATCTGAAAAATGGTGGATGGTCCAAATTAGTGTCATCCACTGATTCAACTTAAAAGAACGTGACTTCGGGGATCTAGGAATGTCATGGAATCATCCAAATTAGTGTCATCCGCTGATTCAACTTAAAAGAACATGACTTCAAGGATCTAGAAATGTCATGGAACAGCTGTTCAATTTGTTCAAATATAGAGAGGCATCTGAAGTGTCCGATCACCTTTCATTGAACCGATCCATTTCACGTCTCCTCCTATGTTCAGGTTTCCTGGGATCAAATTCTTCTCTGCTCGCAACTGGCGGGACCATGTTTAGTCCCATAGTGTTAACAGCCAATTCAGAAAGATCCCTGAAATGAATAATACAAGATTTCAGAAACAACCATAGTAAGGCGTTGTTCACCTGTTACTCAAAGAAGTAAAATCCATACGACCGTTCATGGATACTAGGCTGTTAACCAAAAGAGGCAAACATCAAACTAATGCTTATCTCTCACCAAAACAGAGAAATACAGCAACAAAGTTTACACTTACACATTCCCCTTAACTTTCAGATGTACAAAGAAGATAACCGGTACATACAGAATTCGTCATGTTTCTTTTGCATAAAAACCAACTGGTACTAAAATATATACCTAGGAACTCCTGGCATCATGTATCCTGGGGGCATAAATGGATCTTGTGGGAGAACACCCCCACCAAAAGGGTCAAATGGACCACCTGGTTGATAACCCATGTAATCCATTGGCAATGGCACTCCTCCGCCCCAGTAAGGGTTGAATGCTCCAGTTGGACCCAAGGGCATTCCCGAAAAATTTTCAGCTCCAAAATCTTGAAATTTTTTCCATTGCACCTCAGCTGTTAACAGAATAAGAATTCCATTTATTTAAGCCATTACTTGCACTTGCAGCTAGATCTTGATGACAAATGATGGTACAAGGACTTTACCATTTCCGGGAACACGTGGCTTCTATTTCTTCTTCTTCACCGCTGAAACTTCCAAAAGAAAATCAGTATCTCAAAGAACGGAAATAATTTGACCAAAAAAAGAAAGACAATTGGTGCCAGTCACTTTATTTAATTCCAAGAGTTATTGCCATTCTCTGAAAATCTATTCTTAGACAAGATCTTTTGACTAGTTTGACCAATGAGAAAGATGTTATGCTCCCTCTGTTCTACTGATTATGAAAAAGGAAAGGCACAAGATAAAGCAGCCATGCTTCTTGTTACCTCATTAAATTCAATTACCTTCTAAACTATCTATCCTTTAAGCTAGCAATCAGTGAGCTCAGTGAGTTAGTCTAGATTACTGTATCAAATGGTTTGACTTAGCTGAGTATCCAAAACTAGATTTTGACTATCTTTGTAGCAACAAAACCTTAACCACAAGAAAATCCATTCAAATGTGAATCCAACAAAATTCATATCAAATGAGGCTAACTGTAAGTTGAAGATTACGATCTTTGACTCCTAGAATGTGTGCACACCTTATAAAATGAAATGTATTATCGGCGGCGTAGAGGCCGGCAGCGTCGGAGGAGCAAGCAGCGCGCCCTGAGATGCCGCAGGGCGTGGTCGGTCGCTCTGTGCGGCCACCGAGCCCCCAGGGAGCGCCACCGGCTGTGGAGGAAGAGGACGAGGTCAACGAGATAGAGCGTGAAGGATCACGATCTCAAACCGTCCGCATCTTCCACAAGCAAGGGGACGAAGTTGTGGTCGTGGAAGAGGAGGACATCACCAGGGAGGTGAAGAGGCTACGGTCCACCCTTTCCACAACTATGAAGCAAATTGAGGTTAGTATTGTGTCAGCGGTGTCCGTCTTTGGCGTTAGAGACTATGGTCCTTTATAATCTTGGTGCTTTGCAGGGCCTACTACGGCTAGGCGGCGACTACTCGGCGACTACGCTGGGCGAAGCCCGTCGCCGCGACTAGGGGCATAGTCGAGCATCGCGGCGCTAGGCGGTGCGGAGGGCGGCAAAAGGGGCCTGGAGCTGGACTGTTGGAGGGCAGGGGCTGCTGGCGCCGGGCTCGAGCCAGCTGGACCTGGAGCCTGGAGGGCAAGGATGGCCGGCGTGGCGCTCTGCAGTGGTGTGGCCCACACCCTGCGCCTGTAGGATGTCAGCGCCAGGATGGGATGGGCGCCTGGGCAGCGGCGCGGCGGGAGGGCTTGGTGCGCCATGAATGGCGTCTTGGCGCGCAGCGTTGTTCGGGCTAGGGTGGCGCCGACAAAGGGCTGGCGAGCTCCTCGCCTCCTCTCGTCGGCGGCGGTCTGGTGCACAAGCTTGCTTTTCGTGTGAGGGACGGAGGGAGGCGGATAGGAGCAGAGGCGGAGGGCTAGGTTTGCTGTTGCCTGGGCCTTCATTATTGGGCTGAAATTACATGGGGTATGTGGTGTTGATGGCCCAACGACTAGGGCCTGGGCCCTAGAGGCCTGGGCTGCAGATTTGCCCATGGTGTTGTGCACTTGTATTACTGTCCTATCCACTTGTATTGTAATTACCAGCTGCAAGAGCTAGGAACATGCAAGAGTTAAGCCAGCTATGAATCAAATATGTCTACTGGCCCTCTTTTTATACTTATTGTGACTCATATATAATAGTTATATACATATATATAGTTATATACATAATATATATATAATTTATGGCTATATTGTCAAAACGCCTAGGAAAACGCCTAGGAGCGCCTAGGACCGAGTACTCCCGACTAGGCGCTAGGTAATGGGTCATCGCCTAGATTCCACCTAGCGCCTAGATTCCGCCTAGCGCCTAGCTGAACTTTGATTATATAACTTGAAAAGAAATTGTATTGAAGGTAGTAAATTTATAAATGTTATATTGCTATGGTTGGCTAGCTTGGCATAAATTTGCCTACTAGTCTACATGCTACCATTGGCTACATAGACGTGCTTAGTTTTCCCAACAAAATATTCTATTAGGCTAAACTTAAACTTGTTATCATGTATCTTTTGTGAGACTTGAATCAGTGCTGGATCAAATGGGTCTTCTTTAATATCTATATCTCTTATAAAGATAAACCCCACTAGCAATTTATTTTGCCATGCAAAGTGTCCACATCAGCATCTATTAGAACATCCCACTAACACATTCAACTATATCGTCATGCAAAGTGTCCAAATCAGCATCCACTAACACATCCAACTAACACATGCCATTATATCTTTATTCAAGCTATTCATATTAGCAAACCACATCATCTACTAACATATATTTAGCTGTCGACGTCAGAATGCTAAAAATCATCCACTAACATGTATTATGATATTTATTCAATCATATTAGTAAATATAAGTAGTCTAATTTCACCAGCAATTTCCGCAGCAACGCGTGGAGCGTTCTTCTAGTTGTCTTTAATCCGAAGGGCGGGCCTGGTGCAAGCGGTAGAGTCTTACCGCCTGCGACCAGAAGGTCCGGGGTTCCAGTCGCGGTCTCCTCGCATTGCACAAGCAAGAGTAAGGCTTGCCACTGACACCCTTTCCCAGACCCCGCACAGAGCGGGAGCTCTCTACACTAGGTACATCCTTTTTTTTGTCTTTAATCCAATTGTTCCTTCTTTGAGGGGAAGCTTACGTAAGATCATTCATCGTCCTAATTGTGAAATTGATGAGAAGTGTAGGATTAAGATGGCTCTTGATGTGGTAAGAGTTATTTTTTTCATTGTTTATTTCCATTTATTTGTCCATGCTCCATACTATGGTTGTGTTCTCTCAATAGGCAAGAGGCATGAATTGCCTCCATACAAGTGTACCAACAATTGTTCACCGGGATCTAAAATCACCAAACTTACTGGTTGACGATAATTGGCCTGTTAAGGTATTTAAATCCCTTTGAGAATTGAAGCCTGAACTCTTATTGCTTACTATTTATGGATTAGTGTTGGCTAACAAATTTATTATACATAGGTTTGTGATTTTGGACTTTCACGTTTAAAGCACAGTACATTTTTGTCATCTAAATCCACTGTTGGAACTGTAAGTGCCTTGATGTTTAATTCTTTATGTTTAGTTGTGATAGGAACACCAGGTAAATTTCTTATATAATTTAGTTTCCCCTTGTACCAGCCAGAGTGGATGGCACCAGAGGTATTGCGAAATGAGCAATCCAATGAGAAGTAAGTGATTTTCTAGTATCATTTTCAAATGCTCTTATTTGCTAGCTTAGGGTGAGACAAAGTTTCAGTGTTTCAACTAAATGCCTTAAGGTAAAACCTGAAGGGGATTTTGTTCTACAGGTAACGAAATCACTAACTTGAATTTTATGGATAAGTGACTATTGCTGGAGGGGAGATTAATTGACTCGTAACTCTGCTTAGTGGAATGTGGAATCAATGGCTTTATAAACTTGATATAGTACAATGTCAGTTTTGGAGCCATTGGCGGTTCATTTTGGCTCTGTTTGGTTGACGTCCACAACAAGCCTCACCTAAGCTATGGCTTGCCTAAGCTGTGGCAAATTGTGGCACTCAAAACATGCGGCAAACATTTGACGAGTTTCAGCCACGCGGAACACTGAAGGGACGCCGAGCCAGCCAAACTTTGCCAGAGCTTAGTTAGCAACCAAACCTGAGGCTAAGCATGCCACAACTTAGGCGTGTATGTCTTCCAACTCTGTTCCAAATTATAGTTCACCTTTGGTTTTGTCCTAAGTCAAACTTAGCCAACTTTGACCATTTTTGAGAAAGGTATCAACACCTAATTTGATGGATGGAGAACTTAATGAAACTAATTTGATGTTGTAGATTTTAGTGCATTTTTCTATAAATTTGGTCAAAGTTAAAGAAGCTTGACTTAGGAGAAAGCCAAAGCGAAGTATAATTTGGAACTGAGGGAGTACCTCTTAATTCATTCATGGACTGTCCTGGAAAATATTGTTGTAGGCTTGTAGCTTCAGTCTTCACATGAAATTCTACAGCGCTGCAGTTTAATTCTTGCTTTTTGTTCGACAAATGTTGAATTGGATACCTGTGTTCACAACTTTCTGCAGTACAATGTAATATGTAGTTTTCCTGGTTAGGCCTTTTGAGAGGATTCCTAAGAGTGATGGCTGATGATATATTTCTAATATCTAAGTCACGTTTTCCATTAAGTCTTAGTTCATCCCTGGTTACTTAATTATTTTTTACATAACCAATATCTTACACTAAGGGTGCACGTAAGGCTTGTGATGCCTTGGAATGATCTGATTGGTCATTGTTGCCACATGGAGCATGTAATCATTAGACTAAACATCAGTTGTGAATTATCTTGTAGGGATCAGAACTTCCATACAACATGACTGAGCACTATTATTTTCTTTCTGAAGAATTGAGTTCCTGTTTCCAGTCTTTTCCTTTTCTTTCTGTTGGCACATTAAAGTAAAACATTTGCAGTAATACACATTCATCTATTGAGTTTTGCAGGTGTGATGTTTATAGCTTTGGTGTCATCTTGTGGGAACTTGCTACGCTAAGAACGCCCTGGCAGGGAATGAACCCCATGCAAGTTGTGGGTGCAGTTGGCTTCCAGGATCGACGGCTTGATATTCCCAAAGAAGTTGATCCTTTGGTGGCAAAGATCATTTGGGACTGCTGGCAGAAGTGAGTTTCAGATGTATAAGTTTATTTCAATTTGTACAGGACGAACATGAGTACTTCTAGTATCGTTTGGTTGAACATGTAATGTTTTTGTTGTGCATGAACTAATACATGCTCTGTTTCTATTGTCATTCACAATTTCCAGGGATCCAAATTTACGCCCTTCTTTCGGCCAGTTAACAAGCTACCTCAAGCCATTGCAAAGACTAGTAGTTCCTTCTCATCAGGAGATGCCGAGCCCCCCTGCCCCACAATAAATATGGGTGAACTACACCCCTTGAGGTTATCATACAGTGAATGAGAACAAATGAATATAGTTTTGTCACCATATATTAGGGTTCACTAGTCTGCAAAGGCATCGCTTGATTGAGAACCCCAAGTACTAGATAGCAGTCATCTTTGCTGTTACAAGAAAGCTTGGCAGCAGAGTATATAGTACAGCACAGCACAGTACAGTATAGGCCCATCAGATAATAGCCAAAGAGAAAAATGGTCTGTGTGGACGAGGGTGTTTCACTGGAAGGTTTCTGGATCTAGTTCAAATTCGAACTAGATACAAAACCTTCCAATGAAAGACCCCCAATCCAAACATGCGCTAGTCGGCAATTGTGTGTTAAACTTCAATGCTTATATGCCAATCTTTCTTTTCTTTTTTGCCCCACTGAATGCAAGCATGCTAGAAGGCAGCATGCTCATTGTCTGGATTATGGCACTAGAAAAAGCAAATTTATAACTCTCCTTTAGTCAATCAAATTTCATTTCACTTACCTCAAAGCTGGCAGTCTGGATTCTTAACATTGCACATCGTCTGATTAATTATTATGTGTCATGTCTAGCAGTCTACTTATGTAATAATGTCATATAATCCTGAGACATTGATTGGCTTCCGCTTGTTAATATGTTCATTTCGTTGGTATAGGCTATATGGTATCTTTGGCAACTCATGTAAAGGCAAAATCCATGCTGCAAGCATAGTTTCAGCCTTTCAGGTTTGATATGTTTACTGGCAAAACTGCCCATGCTTTGTACTAGTCCGATTTGAATCCACTTACTGGATTAACCTTTGATGTTATATTATACAATCCTCCCGTGCGTTGCTACGGACGGTGAAATACTAATCAAACAGAACGGATTACCCTAAATACTTGCAGTTATCAAAAGAACTGATCAATCCTCGCACCGTGGCTGTAATATGCAAAACTCGATTACAAATTGACCTTTCACTGATACACACTGCTAATCACATAATCTTGAGTAATAACACAGAAAACACGACGCAATCTAATTTTGGACATTTGATCGAGCATTGGCGGGCATACAGCGGCCATTGGTGGCGTGCACGGCAGTGGAAGCAACAGCAACTTGAGCTTGCAGTGCTCCGTTTTTAGGGTCATGTTTGATTGAGCCGTGGCTTTTGGAATAGCTGCTATGAGCTGTGAGCCGTGGAAAAGCAGACGTGGAAAAAGCAGAAGACAGTACGCTGTGAAAAAGATACCCCCTAAAGGCCTGGTGAATGTTTATATGCAAATTGCTTGGAAAAACCTAATTTGTTTACTAATTGGCATGTAAATGACTATTTTGGAAAGAAAAAAAAAACTATTTTTTTTCTAAGTTTTTCATCCATCAAGATGATTTGGTCCGCATAAATAGAAGGGGTAGCTTGCTAGGTGATCGTGGCCACACATCTAGAGATGTACGGTTCACGCTTGTTGCCGGTATAGGGTAGGTATAAGTGTATTCCTAGTGTATTTGTTCTTTTATTTTTCTATGGGAAAACGGCAAGGGGACATGGGTGTGGCACTGTCGCCTTGCTCGTCCATTACAGAGCAAGCACAGCACACACACACGGCATGTCGCGTGGTTGTTCTCGCCGCCGGCCGCTTGGAGCAGAGAGTGGCGAGGCTGCGCTGGATTGCTGCGGGCTGCGGCTGGTGGCAGCCATGGCCGTGCGTGTGGATCGGCGGTGGAGCTTGCTGGCGCCGGGGAGCGGACCCCAGACACCGAGCTGACGAGCGAGAGGCGCCGCCGGGGATGGGGCTCCTCGCGATCGAAGGGGAACCGCGTCCGACCTCGCGCCGGAGCCAGGGACGGATCCCGCCCGCGGCGGAGCTCTCGTTCGTCCGTCCGCATCTGGGTCCAGGTCCGTTGCAGGGCCGTGTCCACATCGGGGAACCGCGTGCAGACCAACCGCAGGGCCGCGGCGGAGCTCTGTCCTCCGTCTGCATAGGGGTCGGGGCTGCGGCCGCCGTGTTGGAGCTCTCGCCTCCGTCCACATCGGGATTGGGGCAGCGGACGCTGGCCGAGGGGCTGCGCGCCACCGGAGCGGGGCGGGCGCGGCGGCTGGAGCAGGGCGGGCTGAAAAAAATTGATGGTGTTAGGAAGGCGAGATGTGTGCTCCTACCCTGTCCCTGAGGCAACCGCAGCTGGCTGCCTCTTTGTTTGTCGCCCCCATTGGGATCCAATGGGGAACCATCATCTACAATCTCGCGACACTGTTGAATCTTGAAGATGCTCATTTCCTCTTGCATATGATAGGAATTGAAAATGAATTGCCATCTGTTCCGGTAGCCTATGTGGATCACGAACTACAAACACCACACCAAGCATAATGTGCGCCTCGCTTGGCCATACCATCGACTGCTGGGTGAAGAATGCAGGGATCATGGGATACATCACGATGCAGGATTAACCAGCTCACAAATGCAGCACTTGCTGATACCAGCTCTCCATAGATGTGACAGACACAGCATTGTCCAGCCTACAACAGCAGATTAAGCCTCGCACGAATGAGAGCCGAATGAGAGCGCGTCCCAGCAACTGTGGGGCATGAGGCTCAAATAGAATGCTAACGTCTACGGTATTCCACATCACTTCGACCCAATATTCACAATGCAGCAAACTAGTCATCAGCATGCCGATGATGATGCCTGCGACCTCTTCCGCGAGCTCGCGGCTGGCTTCGCTTCAGGACAGTGCCCGCCTTTTCTGGGGGATTGTTGCTTTCCATGTCGGGAGAACCAAGTATACACGCCAGTGAGTCTTCCATCAGATCTCCAAATGGTGTCTGCAGGCACGATATACAAAAAAAAAAAAAGGTGTCATCTTGCAGCGCAACATTCTAAAGCCTAGATAGACAAACTGCACCTACAAAATAAGCAGTCGCATTTCTGCCAAACTGTAAACTTATCGGTAAACTAGTAACTCACAGTGTTCGCATTTGTCTCTCCTGAAATTGATCTAGCCACGTCATCAGAGTTGGCAGCTTCAACTTCCTTCATTCTTTCTACAAAGGTGCTGTCGATATACGAACGGCGTGGGTGCCACCTGAAAAGTGGTTGATCTTGATGCAGATCATCGAACAGATGCTCGGCAAAAAAGTGTCTTTTCACAACTTTGACCAGGTATGCATCATCACTATGCTTATTGAGTATTCTGTTAATAAAGCAAGGAAAAAGCAAGTACGATGTTAATGAAACAAGTAGTTGGTTAGAACTCACGAGTTCCGATGCCAAAGAGAAAGAATCGCTAGTTAACAAACCACACATGTTAGCTAGCTCCATCTTCATGCGTCCTTCTTCCGTGTTTAAAAGCATTGCAGGGCATTGATGCATGATTTCACGAGCCCAGCCCTTTCCGATGAAATAAGCGCAGCCTGAGAAGTAGCTTCAATAAATTCACATTTTCAATGAAAAGGATGAAAAATGATTCTTCAGCAACATATCAACATTGAAGGGCCAATGCATCCAATATTTTATGCCAAATGGTTCCATCTACTCCTGTGTTAACCTAACAAGCTATCTGTTTGCTCAAGTACAGCATATGGATCCATTATAACTTCATGAGCAAATGGTGGCAACATAAAAGGTACATGACTTTGGAACATAAAAACCATCTTACAGAATGAATCAGTAACATACATAGTGTATTCTACATACTACCTGTGTTTTCTCTTTTAAGATGTATAAGTATTGAATGTTAATAAAAATTGTGTTACATTCCAATAGCAGTATTGTTTATGGCTAACTGTTCATCTGGGGTCTACCAGTGCTATGTTAGTTAGAAATAAGATATAATGAATAATCATCATCATTGATAATTAGGTAGGTTTCATTGTAGGTATTCCCTAATCATGTTGACTCATCCTGCCATCAATACAAAAGAGCCACATTCTCTATGAATGAGGCAAAAATTATTAATTTGTCTCTCATCTAAACATAGCTTCGCTATGCCTTTGCATGAAATTGTTGTACAGGGATCACTACCAGGTCAAATATCCTTGAGATTTACCATAAGCTGCCCAAAATCTTGTGAATCGAGGATTAGGTGGAAGCCCAAGCAATTTGTTTCCTGCACAACAGAATTTTGTAAGCATGCATTTGGTACCAATAGCTATTGTCTGCAAGGCAAATTTAACAATGGCTGTTTTGTGGTTTTGTTTATACAACGCTTAATTGAATCAACTGGAGTCAAAATCTGACGACTTGCTTTGGCCCTCTCCATCAATAAATGCATTGGCCATATAGAGACTTATTTTATACTCGTTAAGAAAACAGTAACTATAATGTTCAAGCCCCAATACTAATATAACATTGCTACAACAAACTCAACCCAAGCATGACTGCACTCAGGAGCAAATAACGGGAGGCACCAGCACTTCATGTGGCCCAAGGCTACACTCAAATGTGAGGGAGTTGTGCCTGCATACATGCATCATACGCACACTATTTCCCCTACTAATATTAACAGTATAGCCCAATTTGTTATAAACATAAACTATGCCAAAATGCTCCAAAAGTAATATATTCACTGTGGCTCGTAAAAGGATAGGGTAGGGACAGCAAATATCCTTGAACGGTAATAACAATGGCAGAATGCAGGCGCAGGGTAAGCATACAAATATCCTTGAAAAGTAGGAGTCATAACAAAGGCAGAATATAACTTATTTGCCCTGACGTGCTCACTTGATAATAGCATAGCAACAGCATCCATGATGTAACATTTAGGCAAGTAGCTCTGAAAATACAGCCATGAAAATGGAATAGTGTTGCTTGTCAGATGACACACGGTTCTTTAGAAAAGAGAGTCCTATTTACCAGCATTTGAACTTTGATATTCAATGGATTATCTAGAAACATTCTCCTCCCCAATCCCCATACTGGATGGTTTGCACGAGTATGGCTATTGAATGCTATTTTAGGTTTTAACCTTGATATACAAGACCGCAACCATGCTCCTGGCATGTTTTCAACACATTGACACAATAGTATCGCTTTCTCAGGAATGGCACGTTTTAACTGAATGCTCCTTGTTTACCACGACTTGAAAATAGCACATAATAACATTATATCAAATATGAATCGAGAGGTGAGGGGTAAGCAACCTTTGTCGAAACCGAACCACCCCACGAAAGTGCCGAATACTGAACCCACGACGAAGGAATAAGTTGGAAGGAGTTTGCAAAACCCGAGCTTCTTCTCCTCCTCGGGGGTTAAACCGCCCTAAACCATCAGTACCAAAAATCCAACTCAGCAACAAGATTCTATTGTTTCTAACGCGCGGGGGGGGGGGGGGTGGGGGTGTTCGCGGGAGTTGTCGCAGAAGAGCCTACCTTTGTCCTCATGGCGCACTCCAGATCTTGGATCATCCCCTGACTCATTAGCAACAAAGAACCCGTCAACCCCCCAACCAAAGAAGTGAACAGGATTTGGGGAGAATTGTTCAGGAAATGATTTTGGAATGGAAGAGAGAAAAAAACTGGGAACTGAAGCCAGAACGTTTCTGGGAGCGATCCGGCGAACCTTGCCAGGTGGGGGGCCGAAACAAAGGCTTTTCATGTACCGCAGCTCCGCCGCCATCTCTCCTATCTCGCTACTCGTAGTCGTAGGGGTCGATGGGCGATGGCTGAGAGCGGCGAGGAAGGAAGAAGACGAAGTAGGAGCGTCGTGTGTGTGATTTGGTCCTTTCTTTCCTCGGACCCTTTGATGGTATTGGGCTCAATTGCTTCCTGTTAATTGGATCAGAGCCGCTGCCTTGTTGGACCGCGAGAACAGGGCCTCCAGTTGGCCAGGACGTGTGGATACCTTTATTAAGCAGTCCTTGTGAATAAAACTAAAAAGTTTGGCACTTCAAGTTTCGGTGTCCAGCACTCCAGCGACTGTGCTGTGACATCGAGTAATGAGAATCACCATTCCAAAAAAAAGTTTTTATAACCCTTCTATCTTTAAACTCCGTAGTATAACTAGTTACATTATACACCAAAAACTTCAGTTTCTAAAACCTGGTTGCATACAAATGCAAGAATACGAATACATGTGCATTTAATTGGGCAACTGAACGTTCCTGAATTTATAGAAAAGAACGTTAATATTTATGATATTAAATTAGTAACATTAGCTATATCATAAACTATTTTTCCTTAATGTGCTCATTTGTAGTATTAAAAATATTTATAACTTTTTCTAAAAAAAAGTTTGGCTCAGAGAATTCTAGGAATGGATTTATTCATGTATGAAGGGTGCACTCCTAATATCCTTTCAAAAGTCCAATGACTATTGTGCATAACCAGCCCCCTGTCCAAAGAGCACGAAAACACTTCAAGTGCAACATCGCAAACGTATGGAAAAACTATATAGTGCAACATCGGAATATGAATATTACAACATCGCAAAAATATGTAGTGCAACATCGAAAAACATATACTACAACATCAAAATTATGTGCTGCAATATCGCAAAAACATGTGCTGCAACATCGAAAAAATATGTAATGCAACATCAGAAAATATGTACTGCAACATCGAAAATTATATACTGCAATATCGAAAATTATGTGCTACAACATCGGAAAATATGTACTGCAACATCGCAAAATCAACCATAAAACATGGAAAATAGGACCATTCAAAAAACATCTGTTGCAACGACCCAAAAATCCCATTGCAACATAGAAAAACCATTGCAACACGGAGAAAACAGCAAAGGCGTACAAACAACAAAGGAGATGGTTCGAGGTGCAGCCTACTCCAGCCATGGCGCATCACCTCCGAGCTCATCGGAGGGGGGAGGGAAGGACCCCGGAGCTTGCCGAAACCCTAGCCACCGCCGCGTCCCTCAGATCCAGTGGTGGAGGAGGAGGACGAGGGCTCAGATCCAGAGAAGGACCGACCTACCTCGTCGGAGCCGCCGTCGTCGTCCACGTCTCCGGTGGGGGGCACGGGAGCTGGTTGCTGGGGAGCTCGCGGAGGGGGGGGGGACAGTGGGAGGAGGGAGGGAGCACGGGCGAGTAGGGGTGGCAGCGAGCTTGTGTGAGGGAGCCGATGTGGGGACGCGAGAGCGAGCGCCAGAGTGGGGATGAGGATGAGGGAGAGTGTTGCGGGAGCAGATGAGGACTGTCGCGTTGCGGGAGAGCGTTCCGTGTGCGGCTGGTCCGGACAGACGCCTGCTCTATATCATTATTGATACTTAATTCATTGAGGTAGATAAATGAACTAAATTAGCATTGCATCGAAATTAACTTGCTAACTCAGATGATACTGTTGGGTATTACCTAATGCATCTCTGGTCATCATGCTTATTTTCCTGGATCATGGCAAAACGCCAAAACAGTACATTGACGGGAAATTGAGGTGGTAACCTAAACGAGAGCTTAAGCACAATATATATGATACTAAAAATGACATGCTTCGGTGGTGTTTGGTTTGGAGCAACAGTACTCCGTCCAGAAGACAAGGAGCTACAGTTGCTAGGAAGCTGGAACCAGCCAACGAAACAGCACAAAAACTCAGGCACGGCACAATGGCCCTATTCGGTTGGTATTAAAGCCGGCTGAAGCTGATTTGTTGTGAGAAAAAAATACTGTAGATTCTAGTTGATAAGCTGACTGATAAGTTCAAACGAACAGGCTCAATAATCATTTGAAAATAAAAGATCCTCAGAAGAAAATTAAAAAAGACCAACGGGATCTGAACCTGCGACACACTGTTATACTACTGTATCATTTTGCGTCCTCTGCTACCCTGATCAACATTTAGTAATCACCTAAGAGTAGATGCAGCTTTAGGCTGTCCTGCATATCCAGAAGGGGAAAAAATGAATTTCGCCGGAAAATAATGAACTCATAATACTGCATAACATTGAGCATATATATAAGCAGAAAATTGTAGTCGATGACATACTTATATATTTTGATGTAGGAACATTTTGAAGCGTAGTATATAGTACATACCAATTAGAGTTCGTCAGTTATCAGGCTTCAGATATGCAAGCTTGGCAATGAGATCTATCAGCACAGAGGGACAGCTACTCCTCAGGTGGTTGAGGCCGCCGGCCGCCATGACTTGTTGAAGATTAGGAGGGAAGTTCAGAAAATCCAAGCATGCCTCCTTCAGCCCTCGGCAATGATGCTGCTCAGCTAGCTCAAGGATGCTCGCCACCTTGGTTGCGTTGATGTACCCACACAACTTGTTTTCACACATCAGCCTCAACCCCTGGAGATCATATCTATCAGCCGCCACAAGCAAGTGCTGCTACATCAGTTCTATGTCGTCCACGTCGTCCTCCTCCTCCTCCATGTCTTCATTGTCATCATACTCCTCATCTTCGTTAATGTCTTGCATTGAGTCACTGTAAATGAAAGTAAGCAATAGCTTGAACACTTTTGCTTCCATGTCATCTATGCGTATGACACCGGTGGTCGTGCCCTCCATCATGGGGCCAAAAAGCTCAGCCCTGAAGACTACGGATCTAGTGAAAGGTCCTAACGGTTAGAGTGGGGTAAATAATCTATTAAAAATTTCTACAATAACACTTAGCAAACCGGTTAGATAATTATGAGGCGAAGCAAGGATTGCTCTAGCCTGCTGAAAGGTCCTTGTTGGTTTTGGTAATTGAGTGACAACCTAGGTGGACTAATTGTGTTTATGTGAGATACAAGTCCACAGGTACATGTGTATGAGCAACATATGCCATGAAGGTGAAAATGGCTTGGAGATGTTGCAAAGCTCACACATGTGATGATGAAGGAGCTTAACGCACATGAGACATGACATTGAGTCATGTGATCAAGGTGGAGAAGATCAAGACAAGACTTGGCTTGATGGACCAATTGCAAAAGTCAAGGCTTTGGAGTGATGGACCGGCGTGGCGGTGAAGCTTGAGCAAGACTTGGCTATGGACGATGGCAACGGTGAAGGGCAAGTGAAGTCAAGATCGATGAACCAATATGATCATGTGATGATATGAAGTGGATCATATCATTATTGATCGTGTTGGTGCATGTGTTGCATCGACATTGAAGGAGATGGAATGGAATGCGCAAGGCAAAGGTATAACCTAGGGCATTTCATTTCACCGGTCATAGGTGTATAGAGAAGTTTATGACCGGGTTTAGGATAGATGGCCGTATATCAAGAGGGCAAACTTGTTTGCATATCGGTCATCTAGTGCCACTCGAGTGATCTAACTTTGCATTGTCGCTAGGATCGAGTGGCGTGGCAAGTTGAGTGGCTAACATCCTTTGGGAAATGATTGTGAAAATACTAACACACATACACATGGTGGTGTACACTTGGTGGTGTTGGCATTTACAAAGGAGGTGGTATGACGGGATTCGACGCTTTCAAAATAGAATGCCGATTTTCTATTGCGCCGGATGCAAGTTCTTGTGGTTAGCACATTGGAGCAAGGTGATGAAGTTAGAAGTGAAAAGAGTTAGTCGCGAAGATGTCGGCGCGTCAACCGACTTGACGCCGGATCTGAATGCACCGGACACCGGCAAGGCCCGCGTCCGGTCGGTGACGATTCACTGTGACCGACGCTTGCTCGTCCACCAAAGTACCGAACGCGTCGTCGACCGGCATCACGGACGGGGTTCAAACCCTCAATCAAGTCAAGTGACCGTTGGAATCGCACGTGGTTGTCTGCGGGCGACCGGACGCCGAGGTCCAGCGTCCGGTCATCCAACACAGCGTCCCGGCTGGCTCGACCGCTGCCCGATGATGGGGTAACGGCTAGTTTAGCCCTTGGGGCTATAAATAGAAGTGACCCTCGGCCATGGCTAGTGCTTGAGGACCTCAAGGGACTTAGTGTCCATGCTTGTGAGTGCTTGGGAGCCCTCCATCACACATATACTTGATAGTGATCATTCGATTGTGTGAGTGAGCGATTCTAGTGCGATTGCATCGTGAGGTTGCATCGAGTGGCACTAGGTGGTCGTGTTGCAAGCCGGGTGGTGCTTGTTACTCTTGGAGGTTGCCACCTCCTAGACGGCTTGGTGGTGGTCTCCATCGCGCCGCATGAAGCTTGTCATCGCTCCGAGAAGTGCTTGTGAGGGGCATTGTGCTCATAAGCCACCAAAGAGCAACTCTAGTAAAGCGTGTCACCGAGCTACCCTCACTCAAGGGGTAGGTTCTTGAGGCGCCCAGGCGTGCGGGCTTAGCGGGTGATGCTAATTAGCCAACCAACCACCAAGTGAGCGGTCGACACAACGGGGACTAGCGTGTTGGCAAACACGTGAACCTCGGGAGAAAAATCATCGTGTCAACCTTGTTCTTCCCGTTGGTTTGCATCCCCATTACACAAGCTTGAAATTACTTTTATATATCTTAAGCTTGTGTAGTTGCTCTTGTAATTAGTTAGCTTGTGTAGCTTACTAGTTACCTTCTTGCTTGTTGTAGCATAGAAGTAGCTCCCTTGGCTAATTTGGTTTTAGTAACCTTGTTAGTCACATTGCTTAGTTTGTGTAGCTAAGTATTTGCGCTCTCTAATTAGGCATTGGTTGCCTTGTTATTGAGCTTTGCTAGTGAGCTTAGTTGGCTTTGTGCTTTTGCTTACTAGCATGTGTAGGAGCTCCCTTGTTG